TATTTTAGCGGTGAGAGAGGTTTGAGGCAAGGCGATCCTCTTTCCCCCTATTTTTTTTATTTTAGGAATGGAATACCTATCAAGAAGTTTGGACATGGTTAAACATGACAGGCTTTTTAAATTTCTCCCTATGTGTAAAAAATTGAAGCTTACTCACCTTATCTTTACCGATGATCTCTTGTTATTTGGGAAGGGAGATTTATATTCAATTCAGAAATTGCATCAATGTGTTAAGCAGTTTGGTGAAATCACTGGTCTTGAAACAAATCCTGATAAATGCTTGGTTTTGTTCGGTGGAGTGGATGTTACAGTCAAGTCTGATATTATCAATATCCTGGGTTTTAAAGAGGGAACCTTTCCTATCAGATACTTGGGTATGCCTCTCATTTGCAAGAAGCTTTCTTATGTGGATTGCAATGCTCTCATCAATAAAGTATCAAACCAGCTCCTAACTTGGTCAAAGCACAAAAAGCTATATGCGGCCAGATTACAGGTTATTAGAAGTGTTATTCTGGGGATACAAGTATTTTGGACTTCAAATTTCATCCTGCCAGTTAATGTCTCCCGCAAAATAGATGAATTATGTAGAAATTTTCTGTGGGGTAAAGCAAATCAAAGCTCTAAAAACTCTCTTGTTGCTTGGGAAACTGTATGTTTGGGAAGAAAACAGGGTGGTCTGAGGGTATTCTCTGCCTCTATTTGGAACTTGCCTGCATCTTTAAAGAACATATGGTTCATACACAAAAACAAAGAGACTCTCTGGATCAAATGGGTTCATGGGCATGATTTGAGACATAGAGACATCTGGCAAGTGTGCTAAAAAGCTGGAGATTCCTAGCTATGGAAACAAATATTTAAAAAAAGAGACAAAGCTGTGAATATATGTGGAGGGGTTGATAATCTGACGCAGCTCATGAATTCTTGTTTTGGTAATGCTAAATCTCAGTTATCTACCTTGTATTATTCTTTACTCCCTGTTACTCAAAGGGTGCCATGGCATGACACTGTATGGGAAAGGATGAACTACCCTAAACACTTTTTCATTTGCTGGCTTGCTGTTCAAAACCGACTGGCTACACAGGATCGATTGATGAGATGGGGTGTCATTGATACAAATGTATGCAGTTTATGCTCAAGAGATTGCTAAGAAAATCGAAACCATCTGTTTTTCGATTGTCGTTTTTCTAGTGAGGTGTGGAATCATATCATGAATTGGTTAAAATTTACTTGGAAATCATGTGACTGGAGGCTGCTATTGAATTGGTACTGCACATGACTGAGGGGTAAAGGTTTTAAAAAAGGAATCAAGCGAATGGCTTTTTCAGCAACTATCTACAGGTTATGGTGTGAAAGGAATGCTAGGATCTTCCAACAAAAGCACATGAGCACGGAGTGTTTGATTAATGACATTAAGATGGATATTCTGATGTCAAATCTTAATTCTCCAATATATGTTGAGGATAGAAGCTGGTTGTGCTCCTTATAGAAGCTCTATACGTATAAGTTTTTTCTTTTGAGTTCTTGTTTCCAGATTGTTGATATATATCTCAAAGTTCATGAGATAATTGATGTACAAAAAACTTCTTATTTTGGTAGATGCATAAAAGATTTTTCATTGACCAAAAAAAAAACTTATTTCATCCTTCAAGTTATATTTATGGTTTCAATATCATCATTTTGTAAGTCCACCATCAAATATTTAATAGATTAATAACGTAAAAGTATTTTTTTGTATTTCTTCATGAGTTTTTATCAGTTTATCTCTTTTTTTAAACTAAAAAAAGATTTGAACAACTTTCTTCCAAATTTTTTTAACCTTTAACCCATTTTAGTAATTAAAAAAATTATTTTTTAGATTTAAAAAATACAAGAAATGCAAAGAAAATAACGAGCGTCATTAATTTATTAAATATTTGACAGTTTGCTCATAAAATGATCATAACAGACATATATACATAATCTGAAATGGAAATATACAAGTTGATATTTTAAGAGGCAACATGCAGTTGATTAAAAAAAAAGAGGCAACAAGCAGAGTTCACTCATACTTTAAGTGTGAAGCAATCATTTTGTCCGATATTATTCATTCAACCAAAGTTGTGGCATTAGCTTTAACTAATAATGAATAACTTTGTTTCCATTTTTGAACAGTAAAGCTTTGCATGTGGCTTTTTGTTATCAACGATCAAGGGTTTGTAAGGTCAAGGCGCATGTGGATGGAAATGAATTCCTCTATATATGTTAACGGTGACATTATAAAGAATTTCTTGTTCTTTTCTCTCTTTGGAGAGGGTTGGTGGCACGGAAATGAAACCAAGTAATACTAAGCTTCACTTGGACCCATTGATATTTCTTTGCAAAGGTGGTTCTTGAGTACCTTATGTTGATATATAAAACAAGTACCTTGTAGATACTTTATAGTTCTTATAGAGTAATAAAGTTATGAAATATGAAGGGGCAAATGAAGTAGAATTTTCAATCATTTCTGTACAGGCATGCTTAACTATATCAATTGATTTATGGTCATTTTCTTTGCTAGTTTTCACATTCAACAAGTTCCAAATGACTGTTCAAGGGGCTTCCAAAATAAAATAGATACTTTGTGTATAATAAAGCTCAAAGTTCATTACAAAAAATAATTGGCAAACAAAATGGAAATTTGCCTTATGTGGGCCGTTGGCCCACTAGATTGTTCTTTTTATTCTCTTAACAAAACCATCCCGAAGTCCACAGGGGAAAAAAACATTTATGTCACTATCAATTTTAAAATTGATAACAACAATAGTTTAAACACCGATTTCACTTTTCAATACGCAGTTTGGATCAATATTTTAACATTATTGATTGCAATGTTGTAAATTAAGTTAGACAAATATAATTTACTCGCTAAGGTTGAGCACATCTTTTATGAGAGGAAAAATTCTGAAAATAGACAACTTTTGCTAAATATTTAGCAAAATCGATCATTTTGCTAAATATTTAGCAAAATTGACATCTTTTTGGCCAACAGGTCAAAAAGAGGTCGATTTTGAAAAACGCCCACTGAAAACATACGGGACTAGTAGTCCTGTATGTTTTCAAGCACTAATCACTCACAGAAAACATACGAGACTACTAGTCCCGTATGTTTTATGTGAGCACTAATCAGTGATTAGTGCCCTTGAAAACATACATGACACTCACAGAAAACATACGGGACTATTAGTCCCGTATGTTTTCTATGAGCACTAATCAGTGATTAGTGCCCTTGAAAACATACAGGACTAGTAGTCCCGTATGTTTTCAGTGGGCGTTTTTCAAAATCAACCTCTTTTTGGCCTGTTGGCCAAAAAGATGTCGATTTTGCTAAATATTTAGCAAAATGATCGATTTTGCTAAATATTTAGCAAAAGTGGTCTATTTTCAAAAATTTTCCTTTATGAGATGTACATGGAATCATGTAGTGAAATTAATCATTTTAGCATCCGCTTTAAGTTCATAATTAATGAAAATTGAACTTGATTTACTTTGATACTATGTCAAAGATGCTTGATGCTACACCAAAGCAATGGACACGACATCATCCTTATTTTCTATGACAGAGACTATGATATGATTGTTGGATAGCAGATTACTGGGCCAGACAAGATTCCTAGTCTATTTTGGTTTTGATTTTAGAATTGTTTGATTTTTAGTCTGTTTTGGTTTTAGGGTTATTGAGATTCCTAGTATGTTTTGGTTTTGATTTTAGAATTGTTGGATTCCTAGTCTGTTTTGGTTAATTTTAGGGTTTCTATATATATGGAACGTTTTAGAAGAGATGAGAATTAGAGAATAAGAGAGAGAAAAGATGTTGTTTTGAGCACTTTGAGAGGGAGATTATTGTGAGGGAGTGAGAGATTGTTGGTTAGGGTTATTTTGAATGTTTGAAAGAGTTGTAACCCATTGTATTTCTCCTCCATATAGTGAAGTCTTCCCATCCTTTCTACGTGGACGTAGGCAACTTACCGAACTACGTAAATCTCTGTGTTTGTGATTGTTTTGTGCCATTGTTTTGTGAATTACACTCGTTGGTTGTTCTCCTCCCGTTGTTCGCCGACTCGTGTTGGTTTGTGTGCATGCTTCCGCCGCGCGCAACAAGAACCCCACCACTTTAGTTTTCTTAAACAAAAATGAATACCCTAATATTCTTGAAGATTTGAAGGATAAGTGATAATTTGGCATAAAAGATGAAAATGGGAAAAGGCTGAGTCAAAACAAAATCTTATGCTCAAAGGATATGTAAGCTTTAGTTGTCACGTGCAAAATTATCCGTGGGGTCATGATAGTCACCTATAATATATTCCTCAACCCTACCCTAACCCTAGGCTATCCTCTTTTTATGGAGTCTGAATTTTTTTTTAAACCGTCGGTGTGTGAGCGGATAGTTCTTAGCCTTAACACATAGGAAGCAAATGTGTAATTTGCACTCCCCATTGTAAGGCTTAGACCTATCTACTCCGCATGCATGCGGGCGACAGTTCTACTATGATTCCTATTTTGTTTGATGTATTGTCAAAAGTCACTTTTGAGATAGATGTTCTTCTTTTTAAAGTTAACAAGTAGATATTCTCAGAATAAATGTGCAGTGAATATGTTAGAATATAAAATTATAATAATCAATTATCATCACTACTTCAGAGTTTTGATGTAGTGATAGGGGTTTTAAGACAATATCATAGCAATTATGATTCACAAATTTCTAAAACGGAATAAAGAAAGAGATACCACAAATGTGGACTATGACAAGCATGAGATTTGAAATGATATACTAGTAGAAGATTATAATTGGAGAGGGTCGACTCATGATCTCCACTTTATTTTGGCCATAAAGCATCGTATATATATATCAAATCTCAATCCCACCTTTTCCATGCTATATAAATCACTAGCATGGAGCTAAAACTCCATCACACTCCCATTTCAAACGATCTTCAAGAAACTCTTGTCTGCACTTAAGTTCCAAACTTGATTTTTGAAACATGGATATGGTGATGAGATTGGCATCAAAGAGAGCACTGGTGATATTCAGCACGAGTTCATGCTGCATATGCCACACCGTCAAGACTCTCTTCTTCGACCTTGGCGTCTATCCCGACGTCCATGAGCTCGATGAGGAGCCAATGGGGAGGGAGATGGAAAAGGCGCTCATCAAGATCACCGGCCGCAAGCCAACAGTGCCTGCAGTGTTCATCGGGGGCAAGTTCATCGGAGGAACCGAAAATGTTATGTCCCTTCATCTTGGAGGCAAACTTGTGCCCCTTCTTAAGGATGCAGGGGCTCTCTGGCTGTAATATGTGACTAATAACTATCTAGCGATTATTTTGTCGAATTATTGATAGTTCGTATGTTAAAAACAGTCTATTATTAGATTAGTACACAACAGTCCCATAACTATCCAATGGAATATGGATTGCATAATAGCTTTCCTTTCAAAGTGAGGTGTATCAGTGTATGAGAATAATGACCAGATGACACTATTTTCGTAAGTCACCAGCATAATTAGTTTGTTTTATCTGACATCCAAGTTAGTAAATATCACCGAAACTGAAATATCAGTTTAACATAATTGAATATACATGCTTAAGACTGTCTGACTTCGAGCATATTTTTAGGATCCTAGGTTTTATTCCAACTATTGACATGTGGTACAAAAGGGGAAAAGAAATCATTGTTGGATAGCAGATTACTGGGCCAAACGGGATTCCTAGTTTATTTTGGTTTTGGTTTTGGTTTTAGAATTGTTGGATTCCTAGTATGTTTTAGTTTTAGGGTTATTGAGATTTCTAATCTGTTTTGGTTTTAGAATTGTTTACCATATAAATCTCTGTGTTTGTGATTGGTTTGTGTCGTTCTTTTGTGAATTGCACTCGTTGGTTGTTCTCCTCCCGTTGCTCGCCGACTAGTGTTGGTTTGTGTGCACGCTTCTGCCGACGCGCAATAGTTCTCACTAGTCAATAAGGGTGGTGCATATGGTTCATTCGGAGATGATGTTTATTATATCCATATATGTTTACCAATTATGGATACACATTTGGATATGTCTTGATAAGGAAAACTCATATCCATATTTGCTAAAATCGGATGCGCACACACACACATATACATATATGCATACACACTCACTCCCCCCCATGCACACACATACATACATACATACATCATACTTCCTTTAAAAGTATGAGTTCGGGAAAATCTTTCTATGGTCAATATTACCCTTAGTTTTTTTAAATATTACATTGTTATCCTAATCTATTCTAATTATCCTAACTTCTTTGAATTGGTAACCAAATGATTTATTCTATTCATAATTAGACTTAATATATTATTGGATAAATAGATACGTTTAATATAATTCAAACCATTTACTTATTTCAGTTGCTAGAAAAATCTAAAAAACATATGCTAGCCAACACCTACAAGTTTTTTAACTTTGCAAAATATATTCTTCAAGTTTTTTAAATTGCAAAAACGCCCCTACAAATTCAAAATTATATTAAAACATCTTAAAATTTATAAATTTTACTTATTTCAATTCAATGAGAAATCTGAAAAACATATACTAACTAGAAACTGAATGTTTTTGACTTTGGAGAAAATATCTTGTAAGTTTTAAAAATTACAAAAATACCCTTAAAAATTCAAAATTTATAAAAAAATACCTTAAAAATTTCAAATCTATAAACATACTAAAAACCTACAAATAACACAAATAGCCCTAAAAATTTATGGAATTTACAATACACACTCTAAACTTTTTACAAATTGCAAAATAAAACTTTCAAAATTGTAAAATTTATAAAAATCCTAATATCTAACCTAATAGTACATTAAAAATATAAGAATTATAAGTATCCCCTACATAATTTATAATTATAGAAAACACTCCTTTAAAAAGTACGAGTACGGAAAAATCTTTTTATGGTCAATATTACCCTTAACTTTTTTTAAATATTACATTATTATTCTAATCTATTCTAATTATCCTAACTTCTTTGAATTGGTAACCAAATAATTTATTCCATTCATAATGAGACTTAACATGTTATTGGATAAAATATATATGTTTCATATAATTCAAATCCCTTACTTATTTCAGTTCATAGAAAAATCTAAAAAACATATGCTAGCAAGCACCTATAATTTTTTGGACTTTGTAAACAATATTCTCTAATTTTTTTAAATTACAAAAATACCCCTACAAATTCAAAATTTTATTAAAGCATCTTGAAATTTATAAATTTTACTTATCTCAATTTAGTAAGAAATCTGAAAAACATATACTAATTAGAAACTGAATGTTTTTTGACTGAAATTATCTTGTAAGTTTTAAAAATTACAAAAACACCCCTAAAAATTAAAAATTTATAAAAAACTCCTTGAAAATTTTAAATCTATAAAAATACTAAAAACCTACAAATAACACAAGCAACCCCCAAAAATTTATGGAATTTGCAATACACACTCTGAACTTTTTACAAATTGCAAAATAAAAATCTTAAAATTATAAAATTTATAAAAATCCTAATAATTTCTAACCTAACAGTACATTAAAAATATAAGAATTATAAATATTCCCTACATAATTTATAATTTATAGAAAACACCCTTAAAGTTTTAAAAATTACAAACAAACATTTAAAATTCAAAATTTATAAAAAAACACCCTAAAAATTTTAAATTTATTACCAAATTGAAAGCATAGGAATTTTAAATAGTCTATAAACAATTTATAATCTATAGAAAATACCTATAAGTTTAAAAAATTATAAAAAGTCCTTAAAATTCATAATTTACAAGAAAAACACCATAAAAGTTTCTAACCTGTAGACACTAAAATAAATATGCAAAATTACTAACAACCCCTAAAAAATTAAAATTTTGTAAAAAATATCATACATTTTTTAAAAGTATAGGTTTTGGAAAAGCTTTTTATGGTAAATATTACTTATAACTTTTTTAAAAAAGAACATAATTAATTAAAAATCTATTAAATTTGAAATTTATAAAAACATCCTTAAAGTATAGTCATTGCATATTATCCCTCCAAAGTTTGAAAAATTTTCATAATTTTTTTGTAATTCCTTGATTTCAATGTAATATTTAATAGTTTTGTGCATTTGTAAATTACAAAATTTAGGGTGTTTTTACTCTTTTTAAAACTTTTGATAGTGTTTATTTTGTAGTTTTCTAAATTTTTATTGTCTTTTTAGTGTAATACACATATACATCAATTAATGATGATATTAAAGAATAAGTCGTTCATAAGATTATTAGACCATAGTTAAGTGTGCACATTACTATTCCTAGGCAGTATAGTTTATATATGCAAAAAATTTCAAACAATCTATATAATGCTTAAAAAGATTGACTTTAATTTACTATTTTTTAGAAATTATATTTAATGTAAACTCATCATATAATTTTGACTGTGATCATCATAATTTTAATACATTTGATTGGTTGATCATATACATATATAGACCATAAATTACTTTACTTTCTCACATGAGCTAATATTTTGTGCTTAATAATTTAAATGATTACTCTTAAATTTAATATAAAGAGGACCTCTAATAACATTTATTTATTTACCTACAACATAATACAATCTCAATTCCTATTTTTTGCTGGAGATTTATTTCATAGTTACGAGTATAAAATTAGTAACTAAAATAATAATTATTTATGCTTAAATTAGTTCTTATAACTATCTGCATTGCCCATGTATATTTTATAAATTAGTTCTTAATTTAACATATTAAATTACCTTTTTTGTAGAATTTTTTTTAATAACTTTTAGACTGTGTAATCACTATTTCACCATTCTAGCATAGAAAGGACCTCACTCTAAATAGGCTTCAAGTCAATATTTGAGTTGCACTTAAGTATATACTATTGTTACTGTGTGTATATATTTTTTAAGAAAATTATATCAACACTTTTTAAATAGAAGAGAATATTCTAACGTCTAATATTATAAAAATTAAATATAGCCAATTGAATGATTAGCAAAAGAGAACATACATCAAAAAAGTATGAATAATAAGATAAAGAGAAAAGGTAATGACATTGCGAATAGTACTACAAATAGTAAACTATAATATAAAGTTAACCTATTTTGTGGAGCCCAACTACTGGCTATAAGCATCGAGGTTTCCATATATATACTTTATAATTTATTAAAAAGAGTCATATAATCTTATATAATAAAATTTATTTAATATTGAATAGTAATATCATTGTAATTGTAGGATCGTAAAATTTAGGTCTCGATGTGAGATTTGTATTGATTGAATGTTTATTACAAATCAATGAAATCCAATATTACAATAGAAGTGGAGAGAAGACTCTCCTTCACTACTACAGATTTAGGCTTAGGAAACGCCACTTAGATAGCGCTTTTTAAAAGCGCTATCTAAGTGGCTGCTTGAATAGCGCTTATTTGCATATTGAAATTAAAAAAAAAATTAAAAGAAAAATTGCAGCAATAGCGCTTGTTAGTTAAGCGCTATACCAGTTGAAGCTTCTTTAGCGCTTCAATAAAACGCTATATGATAAGTGTTACATGGGTTACTTGGATAGCGCTTCTAAAGCTCTATATGACGATAGCGCTTCTAAAGCGCTATGTGAGTTGATTCCGGGTTCACTTAAATAGCGCTTCTAAAGCGCTATGTTGTTATTCTCTTAAATAGCGCTTCATAAGCGCTATTATAGTTTCAAAATTAAAATTTAATTAATAAAACTATTATTACTCCTAATAAGTTCAGGAAACCGCGTGCTTCATCTAATATTTCAGAAAACCACACGCTTCATCTAATATTTCACAAAACCGCGCGCTTCATCTAACCCACAAACCCACAAAATCGCTGAACAACTCCACAAACCCACAAAATCGCTGAACAACTCCACAAAATCGCCGCTCGTTCTCAAACCCAAAATCGCCGCTCGTTCGCCTGTCTTTTGCCGGTCTTTCGCCGGTATTTCGCCGGTCTTTCGCCGCCTCCTAATAATTCCATCAAAATCCCTAATTTTTTAACCCCTAATTTTTCATAATCAATACTAAACTAAATTCTGAAGACAGAGATTTGTGTTTACAGGTGCGATTAGTGTTTCCAGGTGCGTTTTCATAATCAATTCTAAACTAAATACTGAAAATAGATGAAGGGTTGGAATTGATTTCAATTTTTGGGCACATTATTATTTTTTAATTTTGATTTGCTTGGTCAATTACTAAAATTGATGTCGATTTTAGGGTGCTCATTTTTTTGTGCATTTTTATTCACTCTCTGGAATTCAAATTCGATTTTATGAAATTCATTATATTTTCATCATCTTTAGAGCTGGCAAAATAGGGATTTCGGATGTGATAATTGCTTTCTAATTTTAGGTTCAATTGCTTTCTGATTTTCGTTCTTACTTTAGGTTTAATTTCTTTAGTTCCAACTCGGGATTATCTGTTTTGATTTTGTGGTGTTTAATTGAGTTTGTGTACTTTAGATTTTGATTTTAGGTTTAATACTTGTGTACTAAAAGAAGCCTAGAAGAGCATGAAACTGGTTTGTGACTTATTACTTTGTGACTTACTGAATTTATGTCACTGGTTTTGAATTAGGGTTGGGAATCCATTATTCGAGCTGCTGAAGTGGTGCAGAATTCTGCCAATTCGGCAATTCTGGAAGTTATCAGCCATAACTTAGAGAATTTATCTCCTTAATTCTGAGGTAAACACAATGCTCCTTACTGAATTTATGTCACTGGTTTTGAATTAGGGTTGGGAATCCATTATTCGAGCTGCTGAAGTCGTGCCGAATTCTGCCAATTCTGTAATTCTACCAATTCTGGAAGTTATCAGCCATAACTTAGAGAATTTATCTCCTTAATTCTAAGGTAAACACAATGCTCACAGACAAGAAAATCTTTTCTAATTCATTACACATTGGACTGGCATACTTTTTTGAGATAGAGTGAAAACTGGTTTACCTCCAAATTGAAGAAACGTAAGCTCACAATAAGTTAAATTACAGGATTGAAGAAGGGGGTTTAAAAAAAAGGAGGTTTGATGGGTTGAGTTTTTGTCTGTGTAGATTTGTAGAATATGTTTTTGTAGAATCTGTTGTAGTAGTAGTGCTGATTCCAAGAAAACTCAATTAATAATTTAAAATTCCGTGAAAACTGGTTTACCTCCAAATTGAAGAAACGTAAGCTCACAATAAGTTAAAATTACAGGATTGAAGAAGGGGGGTTTAAAAAAAAGGAGGTTTGATGGGTTGAGTTTTTGTCTGTGTAGATTTGTAGAATCTGTTGTATTAGTAGTGCTGATTCCAAGAAAACTCAATTAATAATTTAAAATTCCTTCATTTCGTTGGAACAAATCCACCTTGCATGTAAATAATAATCCTAGTATGGTTATATTATATATATATGTATATGTATGTAAATAACAATCCTAGTATGGTTTTGTTTGAGCGTTAAATGTAGTAAGTTTGAAAATCCTTGCAGCAGTACTTATCTAAAATTTTCACAGCTTTCTCGTAAACGTAGTTATTCTTCACAATAACAGATGGTTTACCTCTCTCTCTTTTGATCTTGTATTATTTTTGTAGTATTGTTTTCGATGGATCGAGACTGGGTAAATGCAGATCGATTATCTGAAGAGTATAAGAAAGGGGTAGAAGAGTTTTGTGCTCATGCAACTAAGAATGCCAAAAATTCGATGTTCATTAATTGTCCGTGTCGAAAATGTCTAAATGTCAAAGAGGTTAGGGGTCAAATGGAGTTGCGTGAGCATTTAATGTTTCACGGTATTGACAGAACATATAAGGTTTGGACATATCATGGTGAGAGCAAAGGTAAATGTAGCTCAAGTGGCAAAGGTAAATATAGTTCATCAACTCAACTAGGCTCGCAATTTGAGTTTTCAAATATAATGAACACAAGTAGTATGGGAGCTGGTGATGATAAATCTAGTGGGATGAATAATTTCACAAGTGTTGTCAATGAAGAGTTGCAGGATCATCCTGATATGTCTGATGACTTAAGGGGGGATGCTGGGCTACCATTGTGGTCGGGTTGTACCAAAGCTTCAAAGTCGTCGGCTGTTTTGATCTTGTACAACTTAAAAGCTAGTCACCAAGTTTCTGATGTGTTCTTCACAGAGTTGTTAGAAGCCGTAAGTGGACTCTTGCCAGATGGGAATGTGCTCCCTCGTAGAGCATATGATGCTAAGCAATTGCTCAAATCTATCGGGTTAACACATGAAAAGATCCATGCTTGTCCGGATGATTGTATTTTATTTAGGAAAGAGTATGCAGAATTGAGTGAATGTCCCAAGTGTAGTAAGAAGCGATATAAGAAAAACAACTCCCCAGCCAAAGTTATGTGGTACTTTCCTATAATTCCTAGATTTAGGAGGTTGTATAGTAGCACAGAAGATGCTAAATACTTGACATGGCATGATGATGAAAGAATTAAAGATGGAATGTTAAGACACCCAGCTGATTCACCCCAGTGGAAGACATTTGATAATAAATATCCAGAATTTGGTAAGGAATCAAGAAACTTGCGCTTAGTACTTTCAACAGATGGAATGAATCCTCATGGTCTTCAAAGTACTTCCCATAGTACATGGCCCGTGATTTTGATGATCTATAACCTGGCCCCTTGGTTATGCATGAAGCGCAAGTATATGATGCTGTCTATTTTGATATCAGGACCTCGGCAACCTGGTAACGACATTGATGTATATTTGGCTCCTTTAATCGAGGACTTAAAGTTGTTGTGGGAAGAGGGTGTTGATGTATACGATGCGTACAGAAAGGATAATTTCAGATTGAAGGCTATGTTGTTTGGAACAATCAATGATTTCCCAGCTTATGGCAACCTTTCTGGATATAGTGTGAAGGGGTGTTGTGCGTGTCCATGGTGTACCAATGACACTGATCATCTTCGATTGCGTCATTGTAAGAAGTCGGTTTACATGGGGCATAGACGGTGGTTGGATCCAAGTCATCCATACAGATCTATGTGTGAGGCATTCAATGGTGAAGTTGAAGATCGGTCTCCACCTCCTACATTGTCAGGTCTTGATGTGCTAAAAGAAGTGGAGAACCTTAAGACACAGTTTGGTAAAAAGTTTTTAAAGTCTATTCCCACTAGAGGTTTTAAGAAAGAATCAATCTTTTTTCAATTAGTTTACTGGAAGGACTTGTTTGTTAGGCATTTTATTGATCTCATGCACAATGAGAAAAACGTTGCTGCTAGTGTGATAAATACTTTGTTAGGTGACACTTTAAAATCTAAAGATGGACTGAATGCACGAAAGGACATGGTTGCTATGAATATAAGAGAAGAACTTGCACCTGTATCAAAGGAGGGGAAAGCACCATACTTACCTCATGCCGCTCATACTTTGTTGAAGGAAGAGAAGATTGTGTTACTCAATACACTCCACTCCGTGAAGGTTCCAGAGGGGTACTCGTCCAACATACAAAGTCTTGTAACTTTAGATGGGTTGAAACTGATGAATTTAAAATCTCATGATTATCATGTCATCATTGAGAATCTGCTCCCGATTGCAATTCGTGCTATTCTGCCAGAAAATGTACGTAACACTATCACAAAGTTATGTTGGTTTTTCAAAGCCATGAGTAGCAAGGTGATAGATCCAAGAAGCTTGTCAAGTTTACAAAAGGTGATTATACAAACACTTTGTGAGCTTGAGATGTATTTCCCACCATCTTTCTTTGACATCATGATTCATTTGACTGTACACTTGGTTTACGAGACGAGGATGTGTGGTCCTGCTCGTATGAGATGGATGTATGGCATGGAGCGATATATGAAAGTGTTGAAAGGTTATTATGTGAGGAACAGGTACCGACCGGAAGCTTGCATCGCTAAAACATATCTAGTTGAAGAAGCAATTGAATACTGGTCTGAATATATCCCAAATGTCGAAGCTATTGGACTTCCACATACTCGTCACACTGATAGGATTGACGGTGAAGGTGTAACAGGTGGTCAACATTGGACTTCCACATACTCGTCACACTGATAGGATTGACGGTGAAGGTGTAACAGGTGGTCAACCGATGGTCAACCAATGTTGATCAACCTCGACCAATGGCGACGGGTGCACTTGTGTGTTCTACATAACACAGTTGATGTTGTTCCTTATGTTGAGTTGCACAAGCAGGGTCTCGTAAAAGATCATCCTGATAAAGACTCTAATTGGATTGAAGTGGAGCACAAATCTACCTTCATTGATTGGTTATCTGGTCATATTCATGGTAAGATCTTAACGAACAGTGATTCAGTATCAGAAAGGGTCAAGTTTTTGTCAAGAGGACCGGATATGCATGTGTACTCTTACAAATGTTATCTCATCAATGGATACACATTTTACACTAGAGAACACGATGAGGGGAGTACTATGCAGAATAGCGGGGTTTCTCTCAATGCCAGCGCACTAAACCAGACAAATATGACATACTTTGGACAAATCATCAATATTTGGGAAATTGACTATGTCGGATTCCGAGTTCCTGTGTTTGACTGTAGTTGGGTTAGAATTCCTCATGGGGTACATGTTGAAAGTTCTGGCTTCATACGGGTCGATTTGAAAAAGGTTGGGTACAAAGACGATTCATTCATTATGGCAGCGCAAGCTAAGCAAGTGTTTTATGTTAGTGACCCAATTGATAAGAAGTGGTCAATCGTTATCTTGTCAAACAAGTTCAATAATAGTTATCAAGTTAGTGACCATGTTGATGAGGACGTTGACACAATTAATGATCCTTTTGGGAACGTATATGATTGCTCGAGCACTTACGATTATGATATTGATCAACGCTTATATTCAAGACATGATCATGATGAGGGTGAATATGTAAATCCAGATTTAGTGAATGTATATGGTCATGAACGATCAAAGTCAACTACCAAACGAAAGAGGATAGCTAAAGCCAAGAAGAAATGTATGTGTTTTTTCTTTTATATAGGAGTATTTGTTATTTATATGTAATCCCACTGTACTTATATTCTAGTATGTTCCCTTATTTTTGGCACACAATTGATTATATGCAAATTTGAACTTGTTATTTATTATTCTATTTTTTATTTTACAGGATGACTACTAAATCCCAAAGCAAAGGTCGTGCTCGCCGTGATGGTCAGGATGGTGGGAATGGTCAGGGTGGTTCAAAAGAAGGCGAGACAGGGGGTTCCGATGGTACTAGTGGCATTTCTGAGATTCAGTCTCGAGGAATAGTCACTATGGTGAATGTTAAGAAGAAAAGGGCTAAAGGAGATATATTAAAGGTGAACTTTAATGAAATGGGCCAACCAATTGGCAAAGAGTCGATGACCCTAGCACACTTCATAGGCTCTTGTAGTAGAAGAACTTTTCCAATCACTATTACGGATTGGCGTAATAAGGATTTGTTGCCCTTGAAAGAAAAATTTTGGGATGAAGTCAAGGTATACTTGTTTAATTTTAACATTTTCATTGATATATAAATAGTCCAATTTAATGCTACACACAAATAGGGGGTGAGTTGTTGTATCATTATTGATTATTGCAACCGCACAGATTCCCTTTGTACAAAACCCCTCCCTGTTTGAGTTAATTACTTGCGGAAGAAGGAACATTCAAAGCTGAGAGGGAATAGAGATCGATCTAGCGTAAATACTTGATTTTGATTTTGATTTTTAGATGGAAATAACTGCATGCGGATTTGATACTGTTGCTTTAGTGGCAGGGAGCACTTAATGCTGAATCTTTCCTTTTTTCCCCACTGTTTATGACATAATACCCAAATATATTACGGAGAGATAGCAGCTCTTGTGATCACGGGTAAAATTCATTTCCATTATTTTCATATAACACATAGGTTCATAATTGCTCACATTAACTTATACCTTAATAGATTAAGCACCATGGGGTGCTTTAATTCATTGTTTTTGAGTTCATTTTCTGAAGTAACTATATACATAACTACAAAAAATACAGCATAGTTATTTAGTTGATCACGGAAGGGTTTCGTTTGCATTTGGTTCCTTCTTTGATTTGAGCGTATACAGATCAATTGATGACACCATTGACCTCAAAATTTGGTTATCTTTTTCATTAATATTAATGTGGTGATAGTCAAATGAACCTTTTTTTTTGTGTGAGTGGACATAAACCCAAAAAAAATTATCTGCATTTATGTTAAACCAACTCAGTTCGATAATCACTCAACCAAGTGCATTTCAGTAGCTTGACATATAATATTTTTTTATTGTAGAGTTATTATATGCGACCGTAAGTTGCATATTTTGATGTAAGTTGTTATATTTTACAGTAAGTATTTTATGATGAAGCTGTTGCAAATTGCTTGAAAACAAAGAGTAAGTTGTATACAAAGATGGACAAATCTTAAAATCTAAAAGTACAGGATTGCCATGGACATCATAGTAACAAATTGTATACATATTTGTCTTTTTTTTGGGGTCCATGACAACATAGTAATTTAATTATTTCTAAAAGAACAGGACATTTTATGGCAAAAGAAGATGACAATAAATAGTCCAATTTTACTAGTTGATTAAAATACAATGTTTTGCAAGCATTACCATTTCATATATTTGAGGTATCTATAGTTGATGATGTACTTTGTTAACTAGTTTGTTAATTACAGTAGCTAAAGAGTAAAGATGGATATTTGTTAATTAGTTTGCATCTTCAATAGGAAACATTTGCTGGGATTGACGAATCACGTAAAAAAATGATTGTTTCTCGTGCTGGTTGCTTGCATAGAGTTTTTCGGACAAGGTTACAGAATCTTGCAAGAGATAGTCAGGGTAACTACTCGGACGAACCACCTTTCATATACTCGCACTTGTCTTCTGTGTTTGATCACTGGAAAGCTTTTGTGGCACACACATTGACTCGAGATTTTAAGGTAACGTTCACGTTATTACATTACTTTCAATTAGAGGATATTACAATTTAAACCAACTAATGACAACATTCAATTGTAGGAAAGAAGCAAAATAAACAAAGAGAGAGCGGAAACAATGGAGGCGCGATATAGGAAAGCATGTGTGGGTTATGCACGGCTGAGAGAGCAGATTGTATTTATTAATTATTAGATAGCGGTACAGATTGTTAGTAAAGTTAATACGGAATATATGGTTGCTGTTGTGAAATGTACCAGTTAATTATCTATTTGCACATCTATATATGACCAAAGTACTAATTTATACTTACCCCCTCCCCTATTGTGGGCTTGAAATTTGCAGATCGAACAAAAACTACGTGAAGGAGAAGAGGACCCTGTAGTCACTAGGTTAGATACTTGGAAGCATGCGAGGATGAATGCTGAGAACCAGGTTGATGATCCTTGTTCCTTGCGAATACTTGAGGATGTGGTAATAGCCTACTTCATTTGTTATTTGAATAATTTTCTCAGTTTTTCAAATAGACATCAGTTTTTCAAATAGACATCTGTATCATTCTATTGTTTCCTCTGCTACATTTGTCTCCTACCTACTACTGTATCATTCTTTTAGCATAAACCTCCCAATAATTCAGTTAAGTTTGAACATCTTAAGGCCTGCTTCTCCCATTTACAGGATTTATGCAAATGTTGCCTTACTAGTTTCAGTCCACTGTTTCACAAAAAATTGATTTCCCTTTCCTGCAAATCCGAAAATTGGTTGCTTAGTGTATCAGGTGCATTAATAAATGAAGACCTATAAGGAGGAAAAAAAATTGATTCCAAATCCTTCATACAAGTAAATAAAGCATCCATAATTGATTTGATGAAAAGTAAGCTAGCAAAGCACTAAGAATAGGTTGATATTATAGAATTACCTTTGACTTCCGCCAAATATAACATAACCAATTTGTACTAGATTAACTTTGATATGCTGCCTCGATTTCTTTTATAGAAAAGAAAAACAATAACTAAGATGCCTTCTATATGCTAGATTCTGCCCACTGAGTATTAATTAAAATGCAAAATCAAGCAAACTGTTTATTGCAGCGCAAATGTGGAAATTTTATGAGAAAGAATTGTATAAATATTGCTTATCACATTTCGTTAGCTCGAAGATAGGTCTCTAATTTGCATGAATTTTTGGATGTGCATGCTACTTAAGTAATTTGAATGAAGTGGACATGGATTAGGTTCGGATAACAAAAGAGTTGGAAGAAGATGAGCTGAATGATATAAAGGTTGAAGACTTGCTTGATCGAGCAATTCCTTTAGAGTATTCTGGTCGTGTGCGAGGATGTGGCTGGGGGGTTACGAAGAGGTCTTTATCTTCGGCACCCAAATTGTCTGAAATGGCAAAGTTGAAAAGGCAATGCAATCGATTAGAGAAAGACATGCAGGAGATGAAGACTAAAGGCTTTCAACCTATGGTGCCTTCCTGTTCCTCTAGTCATATGGATAATTTTGATGATGATGATGCTGCCATGGATTCAGAGGAAGACGTTGATGCTCCGGATGATGATCTTCCTGAGGTATATATATTAGATGTTCATATTGTACCTCATGGCGTTCCACTACTATATTAGATCTTCCTGATATTCTTCCTGAAGACTAACATATTGTACATTGCTAGGGTCCTATTACGTGTTATTTGTATGTTGAGAACCCCCGTAGACATGTCGGGCAAGGTATTTTGCATAATCGCCCAAATGAGATTCTTCATGGCATTCCACTACCAGAAGGTTAGAATAATGTTATCACTTTGATCACCCCTCTCAACTTAGTAATCCTAACCAACTAGGATTTTGCTGATGACCTAACAGATGGATTAACCAGCATTTATAGTGAAAATGCAATTTATATTGAATGTAGCATGCATACAAAGTAAACATCCTATCTGTTTGTTTAGAAAACAATGATTGCAAAAAGTAATCCCTCATATTTTAGCCATTTTTTATGTAAATTGAGAAAGCTAATTGTTACTGCAGAATCTTTAAACTGTGGTATTATGGGAACTAGATGGGTTATTGTTTAGGTTTGTATATCTTTTACTGAGGTTGTTTGTAGTTACCTG